GCAGGGAGGGAGCCGCTGGGTGCTCGGGGGCCCCTTTGAGGCCCGTCCCCGGGGCGAGGGTGCATCCGGCAAACCCCACCACCACCACCCCGCCCCACATCCTGCAGGATTTATCAGTGGGGACACCCACTGGGGACAGCTCTTGGACACCGCAGGGACAATGTACGGCAACATCGAGTCCAGCCAGGCCAGGCAGGGGCAAATGTGGGTGCTGGAGCCCGGCAGCGGGGAAGGTAGGGAGCACCCCGGGGTGCTGGTTGGGGTGGGGGCCAGCCCAGCAGTCCTGCTGTCCCTAACGCACACCCCATGTCACTTTTGGGGTCTCATAGTGCTGGGGGGAATCTCCTGTGTCTGTCCCCGGTGCCCGAGGGGGGTTCCAAGGGTGGGTGGTGGCACCCAAGGGAGGTGCCCCCACCCCTGGTGTCTGAGGAGGGGGGTTCCCCAGCATGGGCTGTGGCACCAGGGAGGGATCCCCATCTCCATCCCTGGTGCCCAATGGGGGTCCCTGAGGCAAGTGGTGGCACCTAGAAAGGGATCCCCAGTCCCCAGTGCCCAAGAGGGGTCCCCAGGGTGGATGGTGGCACCGAAGGGGACCCCCATGTCCATCCCTGGTCACTGAGGGGTGTCCCCAGGGTGGGCAGTGGCACTGAGAGGGATCCCCATTTCTGTGCCTGCTGTCCGAGGGGGTCCCTGGGGCAGTTGGTGACCCCCAGGGGAGACTCTCCCACCCCCCAGTGTCCCCAGGGCAGACGGTGGCACTGAAGGGGACCTCCATTTCCAACCTCGGTGCCCGAGGGGAATCCCTGGGGAGGTCGGAGATACCTAGGGGGGGTGGGGGATCCCCCACCCCTGGTGCCCAGTGGGGGGTCCCCAGGGAAGTGGCCCCCAGGGGGGGGAATCCCCCACCCTCATGCTCGAGGGGAGTCCCCAGGGATCATGGTGGCACTGGGAGGGGGAGATCCCCCACAAGTGCCGTCACCGCTGCCCCCTCCCCAGCCTGCAGCGACCTGTGCCCCGCAGAGGAGAACCCGTATGAGCCCCTGGACCCCCCCATCGCCGTGCCAAGCCAGAAGCACGTGACCGACCCCCCAGGTACGGCATGGGCAAGGTCAAGAGCACCGCCGGCAGAACAAAACCACGCTGCGGTTAAAGCTGGTGCCACCCGGCTCTGCCTGAACCAGGGGCCGGTTGTCACTCACCCACCCTCCCCAGCGTCAGGGTGCTGGTCCAGGGAGAAGCTGGTGCTGGTGGGCACCGTGGCCCTGGGGGTCTCGGTGCTGATGAACGTGCTCTTCCTCACCGTCGGCTCGCGGCACGGTGAGTAGCGGAGCTCCGCAGGGCTCGGGGGAGCCCCCTTCCACCTGGGGAGACGATGCCGGGGCTGCTGGGGAGGCAGAGTTAAGGTTATCAGGGTGTTGGGGGTCTCCACGGGGGATCTGAGTGCTCAGCGCCCCTCAACACCCACTCCCACCCCTGTCGCGGCAACAGCTCTGGGACACCCCGTGCCCTGCAGTGACGGGGTGACCTGTGTGTGTCCCCATGTCCGTCGTCGTCCCCCCCCCCAGTTGCAGCCCTGACGGCGGCGCTGGAGGCAGAGAAGGCGAAGGTGCTGCCGAACGTGGGTGCGTGTCTACACCGCGTGTCCCCCGCCTCCCCTCCCTTTCCGTGGTGACACCCACGGATGTGTCCCCAATCCCCGTGTGTCCCCATTCCCCGTGAGGCCTCCCCCACCCCTCCCCGGTTCACCGGGAACCTCTCCGCAGCCTCCCGGTCCTTCCTGCTGTACAACGAAGACCACCGCAAGTGCGTGGAGGCCAGCGGGCAACAGCTGACGGCGACGGCGTGCCGGCCTGAGGCCACGGCACAACGGTTCCAGTGGTTAGACGGGGGCCGGCTATGGGTCTGGGGGAGCCAGCGCTGCGTTACGGCGACCCGCGGGCAAAACCTGGCCCTCGTGAGGCTGGAGCCGTGCCGGGACAACGGCACGCTGCAGCGCTGGGAGTGCCGCGACGGTGGGCTGTTGGCGCTCGCCGGCTACGATCTCTACTTCAATTACGGCAACAACCGGCAGGACACGGTGATGCTCTACACCGGGGACCGCGAGTGGAGCCGCTGGGTCGTCCACGGGAGCAAGGATGATGTCTGTTCCCGTTCCTGTCAGTCCCGGCACCTTTATCCCAAATATTTAGGGCTTCGCCTAACGCTACGCTGGCTGAAGTTCAGCCCTAACCTGGCACGGATACAGCTTAAGCTAAGCTCAAACAGGGCCCTAAACCCGACCTAACCCTACATTTAGGGTGACTTAGGTGACTTAACCTAACCCTAACTGAGCCCAAACCTTAATGGGGTCCTAACCCTGACGCAGACTTAACCCTAAATATGCGCATCTTAACTTAACCCTAAGTGAGGTCAAACCTCAGTGGGGTCTTAACCCAGCTCAGACCCTAAATGTATGTGACTTTACCTAACCTAAGTTAGCCCAAACCCCAATAAGCCTAACCTAGCCCTAACCCTAAATGTAAAGGATCTAAATTAATCCTAAACTAGCTCTAATCCCAGCAGGGCCCTAACCCTAACCCAGCCATAGCCCTAAATATCTAGGATTTACTTAAGCTAACCCTAATTTAGGCCAAACTTCAGCATGGTCCTAACCCCAACCCAGTTGTAACCTTAAACATACAGGACTCCAGCTAAACCCAAACCCCAACGGGACCCTAACTCGGTTATAACCCTAAATATATAGGATTTAACCTAATCCTGACCCAGTCTAAACCCCAATGGGACCCCAACCCAGTCCTAACCCTAAATATTATAGGATTTAACCCAAACCCCAGCAGGGCTCTAACCCTATCCCAGCCGTAACGCTAACCCAGGGGGGATGGTCGGCACCTCTCACAGCCGGGGTCGCGTCTCCGGCCAGGGTTGTCCCCAGTTTATGGGGTGTCGCAGCCCCAGCTGGGGGGTGACCCCCGCCTTTTCTGTGTGTCCCGTCCCCCCCCTCCCCAGGCTGTCCCCCTTGCTCCAAAGGCTGGACCTATTTCGGGAACTCCTGCTATTTCTACTCCAAGACAGCGAGTTCCTGGGAGAACGCCCAGCGCTTCTGCTCGGTCCTGGGCACGAAGCTCCTGGAGGTGGACAGCCCCGAGGAGAAGGTGAGGGGGGATGGATCCAGGCATCCAGGAAAGGCGGGGG